CTAGGGAGCATTCAAATGTTTCCTGCCCTGATTTATGAACCAGTGAGTCAGCTCAGTAGAAATCTGCCACCTGGGTTAGGCTGCTGAAGAAGGGATGCCTAGGCCTGCTTTTTCTCTAAGTGTGCAGAACTAGTTGGGAGATACACAGTCCCACTAAGCAAGAGGTTGCTGTTCTGAGTATCTAGTCCATGTAGCCCACATGGGGGACCTACTGCTGTGACTGGCCACATTTGGGTTGCAGGTTAAAAGGGGGATGCAAAGAATAGTGGCACCTGCCTGATTTGGGGGGATCCTGATCTTGGGCAAATCAAATTAGGCAAGTCCACGCCCCCTACTAGATGCCTGCTGCAGGGAGCATGTGCACAGCCCATACAGGCACAGATGGCAGGAGCCTGAGAGCTGCTGTGTGAGTGGATGGGGGCCTCAGGCATGCTCATTCTGTTTGCTTTGATCAACGTGCTTACTTTTTCCTGTAAGTGCTTCTTCAACCGTGTCATTTACTGGGTTGCTTCGGTGCAAGCCCTCTTTTGCCTAAATATTAATGATTTTGTCCTTTCAGCTTGTCCCTCCTGTTAATGCCTGCCTTGGGTATAGTGGAGATCAGTGCCTGTCTTTCTTTGTTTGACTTTAGTGGAAAGAAATGGGTCAGTTCAGAGTATCTTCAATGGTAGTGTGTCAACTCTAGCTTATTTCTCCTTAGTGTATAAATTCCATGAATATGGATGTGTATATACACACATATATGTACTTCCAGGTACATGCACACATGTATTGCATGCACATACATGCCTGTGCACATGTGATAAAGTATCTGTTGGAAACTGATTAAGGGAGGAAGAATTTTTTGGTTCATTTCTCAAATGATGATTACTTTGTGTTTCTGGGCCCATGATGGGGCAGCATATCACGGCAGAAGGACTTGGTGGAGAAATGCCAATGGCCAAGGAGCAGAAATGGGGATATAGAAATGGCCCAGGGCAAGGCACAGCCCTCACGGACATCTCCTCAGAGACCTACTTCCTCCAGACAGCTCCCCTCAAACCCCTGTACTGTAGAGTTTCCAGAACCTCCCAAAATAGTGAAACTAGTTACGGTTTAGACTTCATAAGAGCCTGTGAGGGACATGGCATGACTCCATTTTAACTCTCTTTGTATCTTAGCCGAGAGATATTGTAGATACTTTTGCTGAGGTGTTGTGGGCAATCTTTACTATATGATGCATCCGTGTGACCCAAGAAACGGGAACCTCTTTAAGCTAGTTTTAATATTTTTTATAAACATTTCTTTCTACTTAGTACTGTAATAACTTCCATTCGTTCCTTTTTCTGTCTTCTTGAGTCTCCTTATTTATATATTCATATTCTGTTCTTTCCATGTACCTGTGTCTTTGGGTCCCTTGGGGTCACAGCATAGAGATCTAGTATAATTCATCTTCCTGTTACCCAGGCATCTTTGTGTTGTGGAGATGAGGCCTATACACAAGGTGAAAAACATCTCTGGGGCCAAGAGTGACATTTGTTTGGATGAGGTGGTTAGGTGTATGGGATGGGATCGAGTACACAATGCCTGCCTAGGTAGTCAGCTTTGCTTTTTCATCTGCCATGTCCCCCCAGTACACCATACTTATTCATAAAGTTGTTGATTAATATTCATCCATTCATTCAATCATTTATTCAAGTCATTTAATAGCTGAGCTCTGATATTCTATCTCAACTTTATGCATTAAGTAATTGATATGGACAGTTTCTACCTTCATGACACATATGAATTAGCAGAAGGGGAAGATGGAACGGGAAAAATACCCAACAAAAATGCCCCAATACATCAGTCACCAGTTGAGCTGCACAGTACTAATTGCCCAAGAGAAAAACAGCTTAATTTAGATTAAGGGTGAAGTGTCAGGTAAGTGAGGGTAACTACACTGACTTCTAAGGGCTCAGGAAAAGTGATTAAGGGTGGAAGGACAGGAGAAGTTGCCCAGCAGAAGCTTGTCTGGCCTTGACCTGAGGTCTGATGGGGCATGTCATGTTGCAGGGATCATAACTGGCCCATGAGGCTGGAGCTTGGCAAGCTGAAAAGAAAGGGTGGTGGGTCAGTGGCCTGGCATTATGCCGCACCAAGGATTTATTCAAAGTGCAATGGGAAGCTGTTCAAGGGTCTTAGACAACAAAATGGCACAGTCCCTGGACATTTCATAAAGATCTGCTGGATGGTTCAGAGCTATTAGATGGAGTCGAAGTGAAGACAACAAAACCAAGAGGGAGGCTTTGCAGTACTCCCAGTAATAAATAAAAGTGACTGGGCTAAGGACAGTAATGGTGGGTAGGGAGAGAAGTCCTGGGCTTAAGGAGGGTGGGGCGCTCACCTACAGTTACAATCGAGCAAGCTGGAAGAGTTCCCCAAGGACATTTCACCCAGGAAGAACTGTGGTGAGGGTAAAGGCACCAAGGGTCGGAGGAACAGGCTTTCTCGCCCATCTGCTTTCTTCTTGGGTAAAGGAGGCATGGCTTTGTCAGTGGACTGCTTTTGTCAATCACTCCCTCTGCATAGCTCAGGCTTCTCAGACTTGGAGTAGGGTCAGGATATAAACATGAGGGTGACCCTGATACTGCCCCATCTTGGGTTCTTAACTGAATAAGCCATTCTTGCTTGGCATCTTCCTTCCTTCATCCCTCCTTCTCTCTCTCCCTCCCTTATTCCTTCCTTCTTTTCTCTATTCTTTTTAAAGACAGGGTTTCCCTGTGTAGCTTTAGAGCCTATCCTAGAAGTCACTCTGGAGACCAGGCTGGCCTTGAACTCACAGAGATCTGTCTGTCTCTACCTCCGGAGTGCTAGGATTAAAGGTATGTGTTGTCACTGTCAGCTGGACAAGCCATTCTTAATGATGATGCTAATCTGACAAGCTGAGAGAACACTGGTAGAAGGAAGGAATCAGCTCTCAGGAATAACAACGTTAGGTTTTCAAATATTATTTTATACATTTGTGTGTGTGTGTGTGTGTCTGTGTGTATCATGGTGTATATATGGAGGCAAGAGGACAACTTGAGGACAACTTCCACCCTGTGGATCATGATCAGGCTCAGGTCTTCAGACTTGGTGGCAAGTGCCTTTACTTGCTGATCCATCTTGTTGGTCCCTGGTATTGAGTTTTTAGCTATTTATTTTGCACACATATCAACTCCTAACATTTATTCTCCCCTGTGTCTTTATTGAGCTCTCAGATAGGATACCTGGGCATCACTACATAGTGTGACTTACTAGTAGAACAGAATTTAGGACCAGAGAAAAGAGTTTCCTGTGAATTAGAAAGTGATTAGGTTGTGAGAGAGACCAGTATTTTTCAGCTGAGGCTCTGAGAATAGAGATATAATTCTTTCTATTGCCTTTGAAATAAAGACTCAGAGCAAGCCCCAGGCCGATTCATCTCTCAGGGATTCAGTGAAAGAGAGGAAGAAGGTCTCTCAATTTTGCTGAAAGACTTCCTATGTTAGGAAAGTGAAAAATGAAATTCAATGTTTGGTTGTCTCCAGTAGATATCTAAATTTAGACTGTGTGTGTGTGTGTGTGTGTGTGTGTGTGTGTGTATGTTTATGTGAGTGTGTGTGTATGTGTTAATTGTGTGAGTAAGAGTATGTGTGTTTGTGTGAGTGAGTATATGTATTTACATACATTAGAATGTATAAGAGGGATGGAGAAAAGTACATATTTTACTTCTGGTCTGTAGTGGGGTCAAGCTCCTGGCGAACCTTCCACCCTTCTTCACTGATTGAGTATGTTCTTCCATGGTGTATCCTGGATAGAGACCAGCCAAGGGAGAGTTCGTTACTTAAAAACATATTTCAGATGGATAGTTGTCTGCTGAGGGTGGATATTTCTCAGAAACATGATGTTTTCAGCTGATGATTGTGTATCTCAGGTGGTAGAGTGCTTGCAGAAAGCCCTAAGTTCAATCCCCAACACCATACCATGAAGTGGGTATGCATCCTAGCCAGTGCTGAGGACTGGGAGGAGGACCAGAAGTTCAAGATTATCCTTAGCTACATAGCAAGCTTGAAGCCAGCCTTGGATGCCTGAGAGCCTGTCTTGAAAGAGAAAAGAAATACATGATTTTTTATTGACCCCTTTGAAATACCTTGGATTTCTTAAAATCCTATTCATTCATTCATTCATTCATTCATTCATTCATTCATTCATTTTAACCTGGCAATTGCAAGAACTCAACAGCATTGGAGCTGTGTAAGGGGGCTTTCTTTGCTCATGGCTGTTCTTGTATTCTAATGTTTATAATCAGGATTGTGCTAGCCACTGCATCCATCGTCCCCGATTCTCTCAGAAAACTAAAGTGGTGGCCAGTGCTGGCCATCAAAGCTGGAGGAGGACTGAGGGTGGACTCTGCACTTTCTTCTGTCCCCGGTTCTCCTTATATAGACCGCTGTGTGTTCCTTTATTCTCAAGGAGGTGTGCAAGTGCAAACCGTCACTGCTCTGGGCTTTTTGAGAAGGTTGTGGTTGAAGGAAGTGCCACCCATCAAAAAGAGGAGGAGAAAGAATCCATTTAATGCAGAATGACTAGAGGGAGAGAAATCACTCATCCTCATTATTGATGCCTTCCACACAATTAGTGTGTTCTTGAGGGAAGACTGTTTGATCCACCCACGACCCTGAATATTCTCATTGGGTAGATGTGAGAACACAGTACTTCACATTGAACTCTGCCAATACCCGTGTAGTGAAGGAGAGACCCCATCTTAGGACTGCATTCCTGGCTCTGCCAGGGCAACTCTCCCTCTCCTGTCCTTTGAGCAGGGAGAGGTTAAACCTGGCCATTAACCCATAAGTGACCCAAACAGAATTTTCTTTTCCTGGGATCCGTTGATTGCCAGGTATAGCTTTGTGGTAATTCTAGCATTTGCAACCCAGCAATTTGAACCTTCTGTTCGCTTAAATGATGATTTTACATTGTAATGGTTGGTACTAAATCCTCTCGATTTTGCTCCGCAGCCGCTGTTGTGACAAGAAAAGCTGTGGCAACCGAAATGAGACTCCCTCAGATCCAGTGATAATTGACAGGTAGGGACCACTCTTCTTTCACTGGATTCTGATTCCTCATTATAATGAAACACCTGCTTTGTGTCGCTCATGGGCGAGGGTTAGGGATGCATGTGGCTGAAGTTTGCCGGTTGGTCCTGACTTATGCTGCGCCGAGTGATTGTGATTTCTGGGAAAGCCATATGGAATGTTCTTTGGAGGCCTGTTTTTGGATGGCTCTGGTTTTGTGTCTGATTAATGCTCAATAAGTTATATATGTATGTATATATGTATACATATATATAAAATGTGTGCGTGGTGTGTGTGTGTGTGTGTGTGTTCATTCCTCACTCTCTATAGTTCAGTCCCCATGGTGTATCAGGAAGCTTCAGAAATAAAATAATAATAGTTTTGTGATTTATGAAATGTGGTTGGGTGCTTATAAATATTTAACTTTTATTTGAAAAATGTTTGAATCATTATCACTTTTAGCTACAGTAGTTCTGTTGGATGCAATCCATCTACATTTTAAGGTTTTATTTATGCATAAGAGCAGTTTAAAGAGATCTGTGAACCGAGATTTTTCTACTGTTATTTTGGGGCTTGATTGTAGCTCACACAGTATTGTAAGTTGATTAATTTCTCCTGCTCGTCTTAATTATTGTGTTTTTAAACAGATCCATATTACTAATCTGACATGGCCAAGTAAATCACTGCAGAATATTACATCTGTTTCCGCTCACCAGTGCAGTTTTGAGCCAGTGTGCACACGTTATGTAGAGTGGCATCCCAAATATTCATTTTACATTTTAATTATTGAAATTCATTGTATGGAAGCATGTATGATAAGCCATTCGTTATGTAGCATTACTCATTGAGAATTAAATGGCCTGGAAGCTTTATGGAGACTGTCAATTGTCAGCTAGGTCTACTCACCGTGGGAAGTAAGAGTCTTCATTCAAAGGCAGATTCCTTCATTGAGGAATTCAGCAGCCACATGAACATCCCTTTCTGGGCTTTAGCAATACTCTCTTAGACAACCGCACACAAAGATGCAATAAAAACAATCTGTCAAAAATTCTTCATGTTTTTAAATTTTGATTTATCATTTTTTAGGTAAGGAAACCCAGGCATCTATTTTGTTCATCTGAGTTTCTGTCAAAAGATTCTTGATTATGATCTGTGTGAGTGTTCAGGCTCTTAGCTCAATATTCATCCCCAAGCAGCTTTGTAAAAGTTTCACTTTGGTCAAGTGAGTATTCTAGTCAGAGATCTCATGCTACTAGTCATGAAAATGTACATAGTCATATGTGTAATAACATCTTAATTCTGTGTTAAAAGAGGTGAAGCTTCAATGTATGGTGACATTGTCTGGTGTCTTTTGAATGAGAATGGCATGCTTATCTGAGAGATATAAAATTGTATTTTCTGCCATGGAAGATAAAAATCTACACATGAACAGGGTCAAAGGTCTATGTTCCTTCTGTTGGTGATATTTGTGTATATCTTCCAAACACTGCTTCCTTTTGTTAAGCAAGCATTTCTTACTCTGGCATTAAAAAGAAAGTATCTCACCAAAGGGCCAACCTAAATACTCCCCTGACTTTGAAACCATAAGGATCCCGTGGTGCCTCATAGTCCTTCGAGATTTATGTGGTGACGTGCCACCCGCAATGAAAACACTTTTTCCCCCCTCTTTTGCTTGTGAATGGGTTAAGCTTTATTAAAGTTCTTCATTTGGTTTCTAGCTGTGACTCTGATGCAGAAGGCTGATATGACTGTGGTTTGAATAACATCTGATTTTGACCTGTTCCTGTGGGTTGCGATGGCAGGAGAAACTTGACTCAGCAGCGCTGTAATTAGCCCGCCCCATGTTTTTGAAACAGGATTGTGTTACCTGGATTGCATTAGTGTGGCTTCTATTGTCGCCGCCTTGCATCTGTCCCAGTAGGGTACTTAAAACCGTTTCTTGGCTGGGGGAGTTCAAACAATTTAGGCAAAATAAGTCTGCACTTTATGCTGTTGGTGGCTTTAGAGATATTATTCATGACATATATCCTTTTCATCCCTCCCACCCCCATACCCCTTTCAGTTAGACAAAGTAGAAAGCCTTGTACAGCTAGTTTGATTTCTTTAAGGTAGGGGCATTTTAAAAAACGTCTGAGACGATATCCTGGATGTGTTCAAGTCCCAATATGCATTTATTTGCTGGTGTTTGCCACTGTCTGACATGGAAATATCATTTCAAGCAATGAGACCAGTTGATAGGCAAAGCTCCCAGTTGGCTATTTTTATTTGCATGTGAGTTTTTAAAGTTATTTGCCCCTTCTGTTGCCAAAGATTTAAAAATAAAAATCCTTCAGTAGTACCTATGCCAATATGTGAAGATTCTCTTTCTAATAGTGAGGGCTGAAAATCACAAGAACTTAGGCAAGGAAGGATAAAACAGAAAATATTTTTCAACTGCACAAAATTGCTACAAAGGGGAAAATATGATGGCAACGGTGTTTGGATTTCAGTTTCCAATTTTATTCCGTGTTACAGATTGCATAATATCTATTACGTGCTTAGGGTTTGATTTGCTTTCAGATTTATGGATATGAGTCCCCAAGCCTGCTCTACTCAGTAGCAACAGTCAGATCTTATAATATGCATCGTGTGCAATATAAGGCCAAGGGAGTGAGCTGTTGTGGCCTTAGAAGTTACCATAGCTGTAACACACAGTCACCTCTTTTTGAAAGCTAGTAATTTCTAGCTGCCTTTGCTTGACCTTCGGAATTTGGAAGAACACTGCTATTTTTATCAGTCAAAAGACTTTTAGCAGTGATTATTCAGGAAAACTATTTATAGTGTAGATGGAAGAGTCTTTCTGGTCACACAGCAATGGTGCAGGGCCAGCCCTATCTGTGTTAAAATTTGGCTACATTATTTGCTGCCAGTAATTTGGAGAACAGTTTGGATCGATCTATCTATCTATCTATCTATCTATCTATCTATCTATCTATCTATCTATCTATCTATCTCTATCTACCTATGAATTAACAAAATCAGCAGCAGTTGTACAGACAAGTTTCTATTTCCTTCCAGTGGCATGCAACAAAGTAAGAAAATATGGCCCAAATTACTTTTTTCAGTCATGACAATTTGTCAAAATGTTTATTGGAAAATTGCTATGTGGTGTAGGAAGGGTGCATCTGGAATCGACTGCTAGGTTACATTTCTGCTCAGTGCCAAATAGCTTGATTAAGAATCATAAAATCCCAGCCTGTGCCCAATGATCCAGATATTTGGACTGTGTAGACATGGGAAAAGTCAAATATGTTATGTTTAATAGCTGATGAACAGGAACTAACAATTATAACAAATTTCATTATCTTTGAGATAAAGGGCTATGTGTGGTAATTATTGTTAAAGTAAAATGCAAAAAAAATAATAAAAAATAAAAAATGACTTCCAGTTATTGAGTTAAGGCAAGGATTGATTTAACATCCACACTCTAACTCAGATTTGAATTTAAAAGGTTTGCCACAAAATTCCTTTTTAGAAATTGAGTACATTGTAGTTTTATTACTACACTGGATATCCTTGTGTCTTAACCTTTTCCCTTAGAGTTATTTTAGTTTAATAAATAAAACCTCATTAGACTATTCCCATTTTCACGAGTTTATTAAATTTTGCAGGAGTAATTAGCATAAGCGGTGCTAATTTTTCTGGAAGACTAATGACGGAGGCTCTTAATTAGCTTTACTTTGTAGGAATCAGAAAAGAGGATAATGACAAAAGTCACGTGCGTACTCTGAATTGGGAACCCACTTTTCCAGAGTCCATGCAACTTCTGTTTCTCTATGGAAACTTTGTTATGCATGCTTTAACAGTACAGACTAAAAGTAAAGACTTCTATTCTGTATTTAGTTAGCTACAACTGGGATCCTTGCTTGGTTGGAAAAAAAATCTTTATTTATTCCTAGACTTGTCTTGGAGTGGTACGATGGATGGGTGAATACAGGTGGCCTTACAAAAACCCCTCTTTCTTCAAATTCTCCCATACAGGTCCTTTCACCAGAAGCACTGATACTTTTGGCTAGAATGTGTGGGGCAGGGATAGTTTTATCTTTTTCTTTAATTTAGCATCAGTGGGAGGGATGACAATGCTCATCAGCTAAGCAAATGAAGGCCTAAGTTTTTAGGGCTATAGGCCCTTAGCTGTAAAAACACAGAATTTTTTTTTAAGGAATAGAAATAATACAAGATAGACCCATAAAGTGTGTCAGTTAAAACCCAGTCCTTTCAGGATTAAGTATAATGTGGTTTAAATAGCCTGTAAATTTTGGGTCTCTCATAGCCACCATTTAAAAGTTGGAATTTTAAAGGCCATCAACACATACTGATCTAATGATTGGGCTTTGCTGGTCACCACAATTTTGCTTGTCTTTCTTTTCCCTTGTAAGACTCTGCATCTAAGCTTAGAGCTCGGAGATACAGAGCACAAAGTATGACATTAAAGACAATACATGCCTATTGTGACATAAATTCCCTAGCTTATTTGGAATTAGTTCATGCAACACTTATCCAAAGCTCTCCTAAAAATAACAACAACAACATGCAAACAACAAAAACAAGCAAACAAAACAAAGAGAGAGAGAGAGAAAAAAAACCAAAAACAAAACCAAGATTTGTTTTTTTCCAGAATGATCATTTAAGCAATATCAACTGGCTTTGCCATGATTATAAGGCAAAATGAACTTGTCACTTAGGAAATAACTGCAATGCTCATGTCACTAGCCACAGGTCTTTTGAATAGAAAACCTTGGCCATGCTGGCATTGTTCAGATAGAAACTTTGGGTGAAGGTTCATCTTTGAACCTAAGGGGTCAGGAGGAGAGGCAAGACTTTAAGGAGAAGCACATTGTTAACCTTATCACCACCTTAACTTTCTTGAATAAGTTATTGCCCACGTTTTTACACGACTTTGTGACCATCAGCCTAATGGGGGAAGCAACAGTCACATGTAAACTCAGAACACTCATAGGTAATTTGTAATC